ACCCATGGTAGTATCATTTGGACACTAGGTGAAGGCCTTTTTTAATTTCCTAGGATTTTAAATTGGCATTTCATTGCACTTCAATTCATATTGTTTCAGTTGTCAAATGCACTTTCTGACAGCTGCCCGGATTATTTTGCGTATCATTGTTTCTGTTTTTACTCAAATTGTAGGGTTTTTTTTAAAAAAAACTGTCTTTTCTTTTGACCCTGGGGGTAGTTTAAACATTTTCATAAATAAATAGCTAGATAAAATCTTCTTTCCTTCTAGCAGCATTTCACACCCAAGGATATCTTCATGCACAAACCCCAATGTATTATTCTACATCCTCGTGATCTGCAGCATTTATGTGTGACGCAATATGTCAGACAAAGCATCTTTCTTGTGATCTATTGATTTTCAATAGATACTTCCTGGAATATGAACAGGATTGTGTTGCAACAGTAAATCTTTTTAGCCAGGAACCAAATGAGTAAATGACAGCTTATGCCTGTAGGCCAGCTAATAGGGACAATACGGACAGTACAATAATTTTGCATGGTGTGCAATGTTTGCATATCTCTCTTAAGCTGCTTCTGCTCCTGCTCGAACAGAGGGCTGGTCTAGAAGACCTCCAAGGTCCCTCCCAGCTTCTCTTCTCTTCTCTTCTAGTCCAGTCCAGTCCAGTCCAGTCCAGTCCAGTCTAGTCTAGTCTAGTCTAGTCTAGTCTAGTCTAGTCTAGTCTAGTCTAGTCCAGTCTAGTCTAGTCTAGTCTAGTCTAGTCTAGTTTAGTCTAGTCCAGTCCAGTCCAGTCCAGTCCAGTTTATTCTATTCTATTCTATTCTATTCTAGTCCAGTCCAGTCCAGTCCAGTCTAGTCTAGTCTAGTCTAGTCTAGTCTAGTCTAGTCTAGTCCAGTCCAGTCCAGTCCAGTCTAGTCTATTCTAGTCCAGTCCAGTCCAGTCCAGTCCAGTCCAGTCCAGTCTAGTCTAGTCTAGTCTAGTCTTAAGCCCTGTTGTATCTGGAGGTGCACCAAGACTTTTTAGCCAAGGGTTATTAGCTCAATCACTCAAAATATCCATAGGGAGAGGGCAGTGGGGAAAAACAATGTATGTGTGGGGGATATAATGGAATTTTAGTTGGTGCAGAGATCATTGTGCATCTCATCCTCATTTTGGGCACAACGATAACTGTAAAAATTGCTCTTTAAGATATGCAAAGTTTTCCTTCAATCAAGTGCCTATTTTAAGCTCTTATCAGAATCAATATGGAGCTGGAAGGGACCTTGGAGGTCTCCTAGTCCAATCTCCTGCTCCAGCAGGAGAGCCTATAGTATTTCAGACAGTCTTTTCTTAAACAACTTCAGTGATGGAACACCCACAACGTCTGAAAGCAAGCCGTTCCACTGGTTAATGGTTCTCACTGTTTCTCCTTAATTCCAGGTTGCTTCTCTCCTTGATTAGTTTCCCACCATTGTTTCTTGACTAAAAAGTCTTGGTGTACTTCCAAATACAGTGGGGCTTAACACAGATGTGGATCTGTCTTTGCTTATGCAATGCAAACATTGCACATCATACAAACTTATTGTCCTGTCCCTATTAGCATGCTTAGAGGCATAAGCTGTGAACAGAGACATGGCATTCCTTCGTTTGGTTCCTTGTTTAAAAAAGTTTACAATTGCAACACAACCATACTCATATTCCAAGTAGTATCTTTTCATGCTAATCTGCTGAGTATTTTTAATTTTATTTTTGATAATGTTATATCCGTCACGTATATGCTATCCTTCGTGCAGGAGACCACTGATTAGAATAGAATAGAATAGAACAGAACAGAACAGAACAGAACAGAACAGAACAGAACGGAACGGAACGGAACGGAATGGAATGGAATGGAATGGAATAGAATAGAATAGAATAGAATAGAATAGAATAGAATAGAATAGAATAGAATAGAATAGAAGCTGGAAGGGACCTGGGAGGCCTTCTAGTCCAGCCCCCTGCTCAAGCAGGAGAACCAATACCATCTCAGACAAATGACTGTCTAGCCTCTTTTTAAAAATCTCCAGTGATGGAGCACCCACGATTTCTGGAGGCAAGCTATTCCACTGGTTAATTGTCCTCACTGTCAGGAAGTTTCTCTTTAATTCCAGGTTGTTTCTCTATTTGATCAGTTTCCAACCATTGTTTCTTGTCCTGCCCTCTGGTGCTTTGGAAAATAAGTTGACCATCCTCTTCTTCGTGGCAGCCGCTCAAATACTGGAATAATGCTATCATGTCTCCCCTATTTCTTCTTTTCTTTAGACTAGCCAAACCCAGGTCCTGCAGCCATTCTTCATATGTTTTAGTCTCCAGGCCTTTGATCATCTTAGTTGCTCTTCACTGAATTTTTTCCAAACTCTCAACATCTTTTTTGTCAATACCACTGGTTTTGATGTACGTCATAAGGTCCACACCAGAATGATCCCAAAATATTTCGCCATGATTATGGAGTGTACCAGAACTAAAATACGGAGAGAAATATGTTGAGTCCTAACATAATCGCAAAAACCGACGACGGCGTGTGCCGACCGAGTATCAGTTCGCTAGCAGGTGATCCTGAGGTTCCAGGGAGAGTGTGATTTTAAGCCAGTTTTAACCTAATCTGTACTTGTACTGTAAGGTTTTCCACAGCCTCACAATTGTCCCAGCATTACTCAGGAATTTAAAAGAGCCAAAGAAACTCCTGCGCTGAGGTTTCATCAAGCAAACAACTTTTACTTTGATCAAAATAGAGTTGGGTGACCCCATCTCTCTTCGTGGCTGGTAAAGAGATGAAGGCAACAACTAGGAAAGATGTCTTCCACTTTTTATACCTTTCCAGAACAAAAAGATCAGGTCTTTGTACCAGGCATAAGATAGCACAAAAAAACAATTCCAAGATGATGACTCATACACAGCATCCCAGGCTCCATCTGTAACTCCTTTTCCCACTCCCCTTACTTTGCTCTTTTCATGTAAGCAATCACCTGTACCTAAAGCATGAAACATTTGCTTTTGTATAACTAATTTCCTAATATAAAGCACCTACAAAGCTGCTTGCACATAAACAAAGATAGATAGATAGATAGATAGATAGATAGATAGATAGATAGATAGATAGAGATAGATAGATAGATAGATATAATGATTACAAAGTATCACTACTAATATCAATATTACTAATATCAAGCTTAGCCATAATAAAATCCCTTCAGTACCTTTGATTTTTCCTGCCTAAGTGTAAAACTTTGTTTTTCTCCACAATGAAACTCATTTTGTTGGATAGGGCCCATTGTTCAAGTTTGTCAAGATCTTTTTGGATCCTGAGTTTGTCTCCTTGGGTGTTGGCTACTCCTGCCAGTTTGGTGTCATCTGCAAATTTAATGAGTTCTCCTTCAATCTTCATCTAAGTCATTAATGAAGAGGTTTAAGAGTACTGGGCCTAAGACGGAACCTTGTGGTACCCCACTGCTTACTTCTCTCCAGTGGATATAGTGCCGTTGAGGACTACTCATTGAGTAGGGTTTGCCAGCCAGCTACAGATCCATCTGGTGGTGATATTCCACCTTTTTCTAGCTTACCAAGGGGTAGGTTGTGGTTTTTCAGTCTCCCTCCATTTTCATCCTCAAGGGATTGCACGATACAATGAGCTGTATGAAACTGAAGATCAGTAGATCACAAAAAAGATGCTTTGTCTGAAGGAAAGTAGAGTGAGATATTGTGTTACGCATAAATACTGCAAATCCCAAGGAAGCAGAGAAACTAGCATAATACATTGGGGAAATGTCTATGGAGGTTCTCTGTCATCCAGGTCATGGTTGTCCCAAAGGTGCTTTTCAGCAGGCAACTGGACTTTCTTGTTTCTCGTTGAAGACGTTTCGCTTCTCATCCAAGAAGCTTCTTCAGCTTTGACCGAACGGTGAGGAATGGAAGGATTTATACTCCTTGCAGACAGCTGGTCATTTGCCTCCTTTTAGAGAGTCGTTGAGGCCACTTGGAGGTTTACCTGTGTCCTCAAGGTCACCTGAGTGGTACAAATGGGAGTGGAGCCTTCTCGGCTCCAGGATGTCTTCTGCTCTGGGCCCCTTCCCCGTTGAAGACAGGCACAGGCTGTTGGGGATGAGTCTGTGTTGTTGCATCTCAAACTGAAGCACAAATGGTTCCTGGAGTCCGCAATGTTTTCTGGAAATCCATTCATGCTCCTGCACCATTCGAAGGGGGTCCATCCCAAAGTGCTCAACTAAATGTCTATGGAAGTCCTCAGTCATCCAGGACACGGTTGTCCCAAAGGTGCTTTTTCAAAAGGCAACTACACTTTCTAACAATACAGGCCTGGAGGTTCTCCTTCTTCTGTGGTTTTCTGGGTTTTCTCAAAGCATTAAGAAGTTGTTTTTCCCCACTTGATCCTCTCACCTCCCCTTTGGTGGCTGACAAAAACAATTTCCTGATTAAGTTTCTAATGGTCAGTTTAGATATCTCTGATGAGAATGTCTTGGCCTGTAGTTGAAAATGAACCTGAACCAAGGGATTGGGCCCCTGTAGAGCACAATAAAAGCCAGACTTGAATCTCTGAAGACCTTCTCTATGAACACCTATCAAGGACAAAGGGGTTTTTGTGGGTGACAAGAACATTCTGTTTGCTGAAGTACAAATAAAAAACAAGAAGGCACTGAAGTTTGCAGAGAAACATTTTCTTTAATTTTGCAATAATGTAAAGTTCGTATAATCTTGTATAAATACAGGAAGAGATGCCACTTGTCCGTGTGCCCAGGTTTTGCACGCAGAATGGTAGTGTTTGCCTTGAAGGATTGGACCGGTTGGTTCATCACCTGGTCGGATCCGGTTTCCGTTTTGGTGTCAGGGGAAAAAAGCCACACCACCCGCTGCCCTCCCCCTTTTCTCCTGAATCTCCCTGTTCTTCTCTCTTGATCCTAGATATCCAGCCCCCCAAAGGACATCATCTCAGAGGGGTATAAATAAGCGCCCGCTGCCCTCCTGGGCTACACTTTGCAGGCTGAAGAGGAGATTGCAAGATGAAAACTCTGCTGTTGATCCTGGGGGTTGTGGCATTCGTGTACCTGGAGCCAGGTAAGGCTCTCAAGCTTTGCTCTTGGGTGGCAATTAAACCTAAAACAAGGGGGGGCAGAGGGAGGTATGGTACTTGTCCATTCTGTTGTTGGAACTTTCTCACTGTTTTGCTCTCCATAAGGAGGGTCCATGGAGCCTTCAGGGGTAGACAATGGAATTCTCCATTTGGAAAGAAGCCCATCGCTGTTCCAGGTTGGCCCTTTGGGGTAGACTGCCTCTGAAAGGAGAGGTTCCTTTGTGTAGCGAATTCTGCCATGAAATGAATCCTGGGAATGAAATGAAAGATGTTTCCTTTTCCTAGCCATCTGTTCGCCTCTCTCTGGCTTTGCCACCATTCAGTATTTCGAATGATACGGCCAAAGGGGATTGGTCATGCCTCCTTCAAGTCAAATCTGCACATTCCTCAACATCAACCTGAGATTGGTTGTTGCTGCTGGCATTTCCTAGAATCCTTGATCTATCATTCAACTCGGGGGGGGGGTGTCTCCCATCCCAGGATTAACCAACCCTAACCCTGCTTAGCTTCCAGACAGAGACCAGACACTGAAGTTTCCATTTGCTTATATTTTATGGCCTGTTTCCTATGTCTAGACCGTTTGATTTCGATTCTCCTGCTTGAGCGGGGGGGGGGGGGCTGGACTAGAAGACCTCCAAGGTCCCTTCCAGCTCTATTCTATTCTATTCTATTCTATTCTATTCTATTCTATTCTATTCTACTCCACTCCACTCCACTCCATTCCATTCCATTCCATATTTTCTATTCTATTCCTGTTCTTTTCTATTCTATTCTATTCAATTCCATTCCATTCCACTCCACTCCATGCCATTCCATATTTTCTATTCTATTCCTATTCTATTCTAATCTATTCTATTCTATTCTATTCTATTCCATTCCATATTTTTTATTCTATTCTATTCTATTCTATTCTATTCTATTCTATTCTATTCTATTCCATTCCATATTTTCTATTCTATTCTATTCTATTCCATTCCATATTTTCTATTATATTCCTATTCTATTCTATTCCATTCCATTCCATTCCGTATTTTCTATTCTATTCCTGTTCTGTTCTGTTCTATTCTATTCTATTCCATTCCATTCCACTCCACTCCACTCCACTCCACTCCATATTTTCTATTCTATTCCTGTTCTGTTCTGTTGTATTCTATTCTATTCTATTGCATATTTTCTACTCTATTCTACTATTCTATTGTAATCTAATCTAATCTAATCTAATCTTTCTAGGGAAATTTTCACAGCTGATCTTTCTATTAAATAATCTATCATCTAATATATAACAAGATTACAAGAATAGAAAAATAAATATCAAAGCAAGATTTCTATGTTTTATTTCTTTCATCCAGGATACACCAGGAACTGTTGCATATGCCCCTCTTGGACTCTGTCTTGTAGAAGTGTTTCAGAAGTGTCCAGCTGATGAAGGAATGTGCTTTAAAATGTGGAATTCTACTGTCAGGGTGATGGGTAAGCACAGTCCTTATCTTTTCTCACAGCTTTTCTTCTCGAACCCAAACTAGAACTCCCAAATGCCTTTAAGAGTTGGAGGTCATGTAGAAGCTTTCTGTGCTCTGCCCGGGTTCCCCTGAGGTCATGGCCTGTGGCTGGACAGTCTAAGGAATGCAAGGGAAGGGGGGGCTTGGAATGGGGAGCCCCATCCATCCCAGCAACAGCACAGATTGGAGGGGGGGACCTTCTTTAGAGAAAGGGGGAGGGAATGGCTGGGAGAGCTGCGGGTTTATTCTGACATTGACGGAAATTGGATTAAGCCATGAAATACCCAAGAGGAATGGCATTGCCCCCAAGTCATGTCAGAATACGGGACATTCCCCCAAAGATATCCTTGTTTATTCATTGACTCCTGAGTATTCCCTAGAGGAGGAAGGAGGTCCGCCTTCCTACTGGGAGAGAATCCATGAATAGATTAAAAGTGGCTTTACCATTTTGTTCAGCAACAGCCCCAGATCTGTTCTTTGGCATGTTTAATAGTCATTCTGCTTTGTGTTTCCTTCACAGAAAGGACGTACATCAGGGGATGTGCTGCAGCGTGCCCTGATCCGGTTGGCGATGAGAAAGTTTACTGTTGTGTAACAGACAACTGCAACAAATAGTTCTAAAAGTGGCTAATTTATTTGAGTTTTGATCTCATCCATCATGGACCTTCCTTGAAGATTTATGCTTCTGCCTTTACAACAGGATGGTCCATAATCCCCCCTCCCCTGCTTTCTTTGACCCCTCACCCTCTTTCCCTTTTCTCTTGTTCCGCAAGCTTCTTTCTGCTAGTTCTGTAGTTTGAGAATCCAATAAACCTCAGCATTCGATTCAAGTGTTTTGATTTTTCGAGTTTCCCGCTCAAAACTGAACATCCCTCTCACAACACCCATAGTTAGAGAGTCTCCCTCCAGGATCCATCAGGCAGTGATGCTGGGAAGAGCAGGATTAGGTCCAATCCCTGTTGAATCATGGCTTGGCTTGGCTCACTGGGTAGTAACCCTACATTCAGACAGGGTAAAGAAAGAGGAGAAACCCACAACCGAGTCTTTCCTCAGTGAAACCTACAAGTCCAACGCTGCTCTTTCCCTCCCTTTCTTCTCTCTGGGGCAAGCTGAGAGGAAGAGGAAGAGGCCTTGAAATAGAGGAGGGGGATTGGGGTGAAGGATGTCAGGCCTCTTCTCCCTCACCCCCACCTGAGAGAAGACGGATCTCGATTCAACAGCTGGCACTGAAGGCTTCTCTCAAGCTCTCCTCAGTTCTACAGTGTGAGCGTTGGAGGGGACCCCAGAGATCACCTAGCTGGGTGTTGGGGCTAAGTGGGAATTTCTCTCAAAAATATTCATTTAATTTGATTTAGGAACATCCTGGCTCTGTTCAACTCTGGGCACCACAGAGCATAGAAAGAAAACAACAAATACGCATTGCAAAATGTAGCATGTAAAAATAATATTTGGCAAGTCTTGTTCAGAACAGTGTTGTAGTTGCGTAAAGGGCTCCCTTGCCCAGTGCCTGGGAGAAAGGTAGGACTGGAAGGACCTCCAAAGCTCCAGGAGGAGGGAAGCCACCTGGACATCCAGTGTGGGGTCTGATATTTTCCCCTTCCAATTGATCATCTGAATGAAACCACCGCTGGCCTGAAGTTGGGTGGGAGAAAGGAAAGGCAACGATGCCAGGAATACAATAAAGTCCCTGTAATGTCCTGGGCCAGGCTCAGGAGATTGCAGAAGGCCCGGGCAGACCATGTGGTTGCCCGGGACCAGACAGGCTGTGGGAGACTAGCCTTGCATTGACAGGCTGATGCTGTCCCTGCAAGGGAAGTATAAAAGAGCCAGCGCCGTTTTGTTTGCTGTTCTGTTCTGTTTGTGATCTCAATAAAGAAGTTGTGTTTGTTACTCCTGCCTCGCTTCGATGTCTCTGATTCTAAAACAGAACAGTATCCCTCCCCAATAATGATACTAAAATGCACAAACACACCCCAGTGTTCTTGATGTGCCAAAGCGAGAGACTGTTGAGGGATGGTGCCTATGGAAGGGGAGCTGGTGTGATGGACTACAATGACACAGTCCTGTAGGGCACAATAAAAGCCAGACTTGAATCTCTGAAGACCTTCTCTATGAACACTATCAAGGACAAAGGGTTTTTGTGGGGGACAAGAGCATTCCATTTGTTGAAGTACAAATAAAAAAAATAAGAAGGCACTGAAGTTTGCAGAGAAATATTTTGTTTAATTTTGCAATATGTAAAGATTGTATAATCTTGTATAAATACAGGAAGAAATGCCACTTGTCCGTGTGCCCAAGTTTTGCATGCAGAACAGTAGTATTTGCCTTGAAGACAGGGACCGGTTGTTTCTTCACCTAATATGATCTGGTTTCCATTTTGGTGTCGGGGGGGGGAAGGCCACACCCCCTGCCCTCCCCTTTTCTCCCGAATCTCCCTGTTCTTCTGATGACCTGGACTTAGGGGACAGTATCAATTGTGAATATCTGCAGATGGCCCCCGCTCTCTCTGGCCACTTGCAGACCCATGAACGCTGAGTCATGAAAGGACAGCCAAGAAAATACTCAATATCCTAACCCACCCGGGAACATCTGGTGTCTTGAGAAACCCCCAAAAGGGAACATCTGGTGTCTTGGGAAACCTCCAAAAGGGAACATCCTAGCTACTTCTGCTTTCTTCGCTCTTATCTGCCAGCCTTAAAGAGCGAAGTCTTTATCTTATGTGTGTCACCTTTGCTGGGTGAATAGCTTATGTAATCAACGTAGGTATAAAAATAAGGTTTTTCTGATATTTGGGGCTTTTGTCTCTTTTTAGTTGAAGTTGCTTGAAGGCAACTTCTGGTTTCCTGTATTTTTTTTTAACCAAGCAAGACCTCAGAACCTGCCTATCACTTCTCTCTTAATCCTAGATATCCACCCCACCACCAAGTACGACATCTCAGAGGGGTATAATTAAGCTCCTGCTGCCCTCCTGGACTACACTCTGCAGGCTGAAGAGGAGATTGCAAGATGAAAACTCTGCTGTTGACCCTGGTGGTGGTGGCCTCCATGTACCTGGACTCAGGTAGGGCCACCAAGCTTTGATCTTGGGTGGCAATTAAACCTAAAACAAGGGGGGGCAGAGGGAGGTATGGTAGTTGTCCATTCTGTTGGTGGGACTTTCTCACTGTTTTGCTCTCCATAAGGAAGGTCCATGGAGCCTTCAGGGGTAGACAATGGAATTCTCCATTTGGAAAGAAGCCCATCACTGTTCCAGGCTGGCCCTTTGGGGTAGACTGCCTCTGAAAGGAGAGGTTCCTTTGCTTAGTGAATTCTGCTGTGGAATTACTCCTGGGAGTGAGATGAAAAATGTTTCCTTTCCTTACCCCACCATCTGTCTCCCTCTGGCTTTGCTATCGCTCAGTGTTTGGATGGTACAACCGAAAGGGATCCGTGATGCCTCCTTCAAGTCAAGCTTGTAGTTTCCTTGACACCAACCTGAGATTGGTTGCTGTTGCTGGGGTGTCTGAGACTCCTCAATCTATCATACAACCATCCTAGGTTTGACCAACCCAAACCCTGCTTAGCTTCCACACGGAGACCAGCCATTGAGGTTTCCATTTGCTTATATTTTATAGTCTGTTTCAGAAGAGAAGATTTTTTTTTTAATCCCAGCTTTTATCCCACCTGTGGTGGCGCAGTGGTAAGAATGCAGTATTGCAGGCGAATTCTGCTTACTGCTGACTGCCAGCGGTTCGATCGTGACCGGTTCAAGGTTGACTCGGCCTTCCATCCTTCTGAGGTCGGTTAAAAGAGGACCTAGTTTTGGGGGGCAATATGCTGACTCTGTAAACTGCTTAGAAAGGGCTGTACAGCGCTGTGAAGCAGTATAAAAGTCTACGTGCTATTGCTGTTTGGTTTTGTAATCACCCAAGGAAGCAAAGAAACTTAAAACATATAAGGAATGGTTGCTGGAATTAGGTATGTCTAGTTTAACGAAGAGAAGGACAAGGGGGGACATGATAGCAGCGTTCCAATATCTCAGGGGCTGCCCCAAAGAAGAGGGAGTCAAGCTATTCTCCAAGGCGCCTGAAGGCAGGACGAGAAGCAACAGATGGAAACTGACCAAGGAGAGAAGCAACCTAGAACTAAGGAGAAACTTACTGACAGTTAGAACAATTAACCAATGGAACAACCTGCCTCCAGAAGCGGTGAATGCTCCAACACTGGAAGTTTTTAAGGAGAGACTGGACAGCCGTTTGTCTGAAATGGTGTAGGGTTCCTGCCTGGGCAGGGAGTTGGACTTGATGACCTCCAAGGTCCCTTCCAACATTATTATTATTATTATTATTATTATTATTATTATTATTATTATTATTATTATTATTACTCTTTCCCCCTATTTTCCCCACAGCAACAATCCTGTGAGGTAGGATGGAGAGAGAGAGAGAGAGAGAATGGTCCAAAGTCACCCAGCTGGCTCTGATCCCTAAATTGGGACTAGAAGTCAGAGTTTCCTATTTCTAGAGCATATGATCTTTCCAGGGAAATTTTCACAGCCAACCTTTCTATGAAATGATCCCTCATCTAATATATAACAGGATTACAAGATTAGATAAATAAATATCTAAGTAAGATCTCTATATTTTATTTCTTTCATCCAGGATACACCCTGACATGTCGCTTATGCACTGAATTGCGTTGTGATGTCTTTGAGAATTGTACAAAAGGACAGAACATCTGCTATGTAAGGGTGGATTATAGTGATATACTCAGTAAGTACAGTCCTTATCTTTTCTCACAGCTTTTCTTCTTGAACCCAAACTAGAACTCCCAAATGCACCTGAGAGTTGGAGGTCATGTAGAAGCTTTCTGTGCTCTGCCCGGGTTCCCCTGAGGTCATGGCCTGTGGCTGGACAGTCTAAGGAATGCAAGGGAAGGGGGGCTTGGAGTGGGGAGCCCCATCTGTCCCAGGAGTAACCCAGATTGAAGGGGAGGCTTTCTTTAGAGAAAGGGGTGGAGGGAAAGGGGGAGGACTGGGGGTTTGTTCTGGAATTGAGGGAAATTAGATCTCGCACATTAAATATCCAAGAGGGATGGCATTGCCCCCGAGTCATGTCAAAACACAGGACTTTCCCCCAAAGATATCTTTGTTTACTCATTGACTCCTGAGTATTCCCTAGAGGAGGAAGGAGGTCTGCCTTCCTACTGGGAGGGAATCCACCGAAGTGTTAAAAGTGGGTTTACCATTTTGTTCAGCCACAGCCCCAGATCTGTTCTTTGGTATTTTTTTTAATAGTCATTCTGCTTTGTGTTTCCTTCACAGAACTGAGGATCACCAGGGGATGTGCTGCAACGTGTCGTACTACTTTGGTTGCCAATGAGTTCATTTTCTGTTGTGCAGAAGACAAGTGCAACTAAGAGTTCTAAAAGTGGCTAATTTCTTTGAGTTTTGATCTCATCCAACATGGACCTTCCTTGAAGATTTACGCTTCTGGCTTTTACCACAGGATGGTCCATAATCCCCCCTCCCCTGCTTTCTTTGACCCCTTACCCTCTTTCCCTTTTCTCTTGTTCCGCAAGCTTCTTTCTGCTAGTTCTGTAGTTTGAGAATCCAATAAACCTCAGCATTCAATTCAAGTGTTTTGATTTTTCGAGTTTCCCGCTCAAAACTGAACATCCCTCTCACAACACCCACAGTTAGCGAGTCTCCCTCCAGGATCCATCAGGCAGTGATGCTGGGAAGAGCAGGATTGGGTCCAATCCCTGTTGAATCATGGCTTGGCTTGGCTCATTGGGTAGTAACCCTACATTCAGACAGGGTAAAGAAAGAGGAGAAACCCACAACCGAGTCTTTCCTCAGTGAAACCTCCAAGTCCAAAGCTGCTCTTTCCCTCCCTTTTTCTCTCTGGGGCAAGCTGAGAGGAAGAGGAAGAGGCCTTGAAATAGAGGAGGGGGATTGGGGTGAAGGATGTCAGGCCTCTTCTCCATCACCCCCACCTGAGAGAAGACGGATCTTGATTCAACAGTTGGCACTGAAGGCTTCTCTTACGCTCTCCTCAGTTCTACAGTGTGAGTGTTGGAGGGGACACCAGAGATCACCTAGCTGGGTGTTGGGGCTAAGTGGGAATTTCTCTCAAAAACCATGTATTACTTCTGTAGCTCCATTTTACACCAGACGAAGCTTCTGAATGCTGTTCAAGGGCAGTCTCATGTAGAGTCCATTGCAGTTGTCTAGAGGTCACGAGACTCTGAGTAGGGCCTCCCTGTCCAGAAATGGACTCAACTAGTACACCACCCACAGATGTGCCAAGGCTCTCACATCTGGTCTCCTAGCAGGAGCTGTGAATCCGGGAGAACCCCCAAATTGTACAGAACATCTGTCTAAGGCAATCTCACAACATCCAGAACCCAAGATGAAAAATCTCCAGCATGGGAAGGTTGAAACTCCCAAACTGTTCCGCTGGTTAATTGTCCTCACTGTCAGGAAGTTTCTCCTTAATTCCAGGTTGCTTCTCTCTTTGGTCAGTTTCCAGCCATTGTTTCTTTTTAATGTTTTTTTCAGTATTAAATCCATCATGCACATTCTGTCTTTCAGGCGGGAGACCACTCATTCTGGATCCATAAATTGTTTTTCAGACTCCCTCCATTTTCATCCTCGAAAGACTGCACGGCGGAATGAGCTGTATGAAACTGAAAATCAGTACATCACAAGAAAGATGCTTTGTCTGAAGGAAAGCAGAGTGACCTATTGTGTTATGCATAAATGCAGCAAATCCCAAGGAAGCAGATGAGCTAACAACACAGGCCTGGAAGGTTCTCCTTCTTCCCCGGTGCTCTGGGTTTTCTCAAAGCATTAAGAAGTTGTTTTTCCCCTGATGAAAGAAATTCTGGGGACACCCCCCCCCCAGTTGGTCCCCTCATCTCCCCTTTGGTGTCTGACAAAAACAATTTCCTGATTAAGTTTCTAATGGTCAGTTTAGATATTTCCGATGAGAATGTCATAGGCGAGCGCACATGGCCACCTCACCGCCTCCGCGCGAACCAGTCATCCCCAATGAATACCGGGACCTGGCGGAGGTTTTTAGTGAAGAAGAATGTGATATCCTACCCCCTCACAGACCCAATGACTGCTCCATCGAACTGGTGCCAGGGGCCAAGCTCCCACGTTCGAGAATGTATGCTATGTCCCCCCTCGAAATGGAGGAGATCTAAGCATAATGTCATGTGTCTGAGTAACGAAACACTTAAAAGGACTTTCAGGCATTTTTTTCTCCTAAAAGCATTTATTAAGATTACAATACGTCAGCACAGCATGGTGGAATGCTTAGATCTGCTTCGCTTCCGTTACGCATAACATTCCAAACATTTTCCACTCCCTTATTGTAGGGTCATGGTTCACATCTTCCAATCAACTTGGAAGATGTGATTTACTTCCGGTTTCTTTCTCCCGGGCTATCCTTATGCTCCTCCCTCTTTCCCAGTTGCTGGTTTAACTATATAAATACCAGACAGTTCTGCACATTGTCAAAGCAAGAATATACAGTATTTGCAGCGTTGACATCGCGTACTCTTGAGTTATTGTTGAAAATTAACCTGAACCAAGGGATTGGGCCCCTGTAGGGCACAATAAAAGCCAGGTTTGATCCCTCAAGACCTTCTCTATGAACACTATCAAGGACAAAGGGTTTTTGTGGGGGACAAGAGCATTCTGCTCTGGACACCCAAAGGTTTAAAGAATGTGTGGTTTTACTGTCTTGAGTTAAAGGATCTTTTCTTTGCAGGAATTGTTGACCTATGACTCAAGGCCTCCCCTGGAATTATCTCTTCCTGCTGTTCCTGCTCATACTTTTGTACTAGAAACCCCACTGCCGTGTCTGACCCATCCTCTATCCATCTTCCTTGTCTATCCTGACTTTTGGATCACCTGAATCCTTTAGTCCACAGGCTAGTTTTAGAGAGAACCTGATCTGCTCAAAGGAGGCCATGTGTGTTGAATGAAGGCAGATCCACAGTTGCAACCAAGAAGTTGCCCCCTTGGTTAATTGAAGTACAAATAAAGAAGAAGAAGAAGAAGCCACTGAACTTTGCAGAGAAATATTTTGTTTAATTTTGCAATATGTAAAGATTCTATAGTCTTGTACAAATACAGGAAGAGATGCCACTTGTCCAAGTGCCCAGGTTTTGCACGCAGAACGGTAGTGTTTGCCTTGAAGACCCAGACCGGTTGGTTCTTCACCTGGTCTGATCCAGTTTCTGTTTTGGAGTTGAGGGCAAAAAGGCCACACCCACTGCCCTTCCCCTTTTCTCCTGAATCTCCCTGTTCTCTCTTAATCCTAGATATCCACTCCCCAAGTATGACATCTCAGAGGGGTATAAATAAGTGCCTGCTGTCCTCCTGGGCTACACTTTGCAGGCTGAAGAGAAGATTGCAAGATGAAAACTCTGCTGCTGGCCTTGGTTGTGGTGGCAATTGTGTACCTGGAGCCAGGAAGGGCCACCAAGCTTTGATCTTGGGTGGCAATTAAACCAGAAACAAGGGGTCAGAGGGAGGGATGGTAGTTGTCCATTCTGTTGTTGGAACTTTCTCACTGTTTTGCTCTGTACTGTATAAGGAGGGTCCCTGACCGGCTCAAGGTTGACTCAGCCTTCCATCCTTCTGAGGTCGGTTAAAAGTGGAGCCAGATTTTGGGGACCATATGCTGACTCTGTAAACTGCTTAGAAAGGGCTGTATTCTTTCTAGGGAAATTTTCACAGCCGACCTTTCTAATTAAACGATCTATCATCTAATATATAATAGGATTACAAGATTAGATAATAATAATAATAATAATAATAATAATAATAATAATAATAATAATAATAATAATAATAATAATAATAATAATAATAATAATAATAATAATGATAAAGTTGGAAGGTATCTTGGAGGTCATCTAGTCCAACCCCCTGCTCAGGCAGGAAACCCTATACCATTTCGGACAAATGGCTGTCCAGTTTCTTCTTAAAAACTTCCAGTGTTGGCGCATTCACTGCTTCTGGAGGCAGGTTGTTCCACTGGTTAATTACTGTCAGGAAGTTTCTCCTTAGTTCTAGATTGCTTCTCTCTTTGGTTAGTTTCCACCCGTTGCTTCTTGTCCTGCCTTCAGGTGCTTTGGAGAATAGCTTGACTCCCTCTTCTTTGTGGCAGCCCCTGAGATATTGAAACACTGCTATCATGTCCCCACTCGTCCTTCTCTTCATTAAACTAGACATACCCAATTCCAGCAACCGTTCCTTATATGTTTTAGCCTCCAGTCCTCTAATCATCTTTGTTGCTCTTCTCTGTACTCTTTCTAGAGTCTCAACATCTTTTTTACATCGTGGTGACCAAAACTGGATGCAATATTCCAGGTGTGGCCTTACCAAGACATTGTAAAGTGATATCAACACTTCATGTGATCTTGATTCCATCCTCTGTTAATGCAGCACTGTGTTGGCTTTTTTGGCAGCTGCAGCACACGGCTGGCTCCTATTTAAGTGATTGTCCACTAGGACTCCGAGATCCCTCTCACAGTTACTACTATTGAGCAAGGTACTCCCTATACATTTGGTTTTTCGTGCCTAAATGTAGAACCTTACTTTTTTCACCATTGAATTTCATTTTGTTAGATAGTGCCCAGTGTTCAAGTCTGTCCAGATCCTCCTGTATCCTAAGCCTGTCTTCTGGAGTGTTGGCTATTCCTGCCAGCTTGGTGTCATCTAAGTAAGGTTTCTATATTTTATTTCTTTCATCCAGGATACACCCTGAAATGTCGCTCATGCACCAGATTGTTTTGTGATAACGTTAAGAAATGTGCAAAAGGACAGAAGGTGTGCTATATAAACTACATTTACAGTGATATACCCAGTAAGCACAGTCCTGATCTTTTCTCACAGCTTTTCTTCTTGAACCCAAACTGGAGCTCCCAAATGCACCTGAGAGTTGGAGGTCATGTAGGGCCTGTCTGTCCCCTGCCCGGGTTCCCATGAGATCCTGGCCTGTTGCCGCACAGTCTAAGGCACGGGTGTCAAACTCGACATGTCACGCGATGTATTGCGACTTTTTTTTTTTGCATTGCTGGAACTGGGGTAGGCACGGCTTCTGTATGATGCAACCGGCCTGCCGGCTGGCAGTTTATCAACCCTAGTCTAAGGGATGTAAGGAAAAGGGGGCATGGAATGGGGAGCCCCATCTGTCCCAGGAGTAACCCAGATTGAGGGGGAGACATTCTTTAGAGAACGGGGTGGAGGGAAAGGGGGAGGACTGGGGGTATGTTCTGGAGTTGACAGAAATTAGATCTCGCACATTAAATATCCAGGAGGGATGGCATTGCCCCCGAGTCATGTCAGAACACGGGACTTTCCCCCAAAGATATCTTTTGTTTATTCATTGACTTCTGAGTATTCCCTAGAGGAGGAAGGAGTTCCGCCTTCCCACTGGGAGGGAATCCACCGATGTGTTAAAAGTGGCTTTGCCATTTTGTTCAGCCACAGCCCCAGATCTGTTCTTTGGCATTTTTTTTAATAGTCATTCTGCTTTGTGTTTCCTTTGCAGAAATGGAAGTCATCAAGGGATGTGCTGCAAGCTGCCCTACTGAGGGAGACTATGAGAGGGTTTTGTGTTGCCCGACAGACAACTGCATCTAATCGTTCTAGAAGTGGCTAATTTCTTTGAGCTTTGCCCTCATCCATCATGGGCCTTCCTTGAACATTTATGCTTCTGGCCTTTCCCACAGGATGGTCCATCATTCCCCCTCCCCCTTCCTGTGACACCTCACCTCACCTTTCCCTACTACTACTACTACCATTATTATTATTATTATTATTATTATTATTATTATTATTATTATTATTATTATTATTATTTAAGCTAAAAATCTATTGATGAATGTAATAAATATGTTTTACTTATCTGTTATAATAAAAACTATTAGCTTAAATATGAGATAGTAGATATCAAGAGAAAAAGAGATGAAGTATTAAATGTTGAAATAAGAGAAATTTTGGTTACTAAATTTAATATATTTGGAAATTAACAGAAAATAAGAATGTTATACTGTATTAATTAGTTGATGTAAGATAGTGAGAAATAGAATATATTCAAATAGATAAGACATGTATCCTGAACATTAGATCTTGTGATGAATTGTGATAAAGGGAACTGGGGTTATTTAAAACTTGGAAATTATAATATTAAACATTAAATTTAAATATTAATGGGAAACTAAAAATTGGGAAAAACTAATTAGGACATCATTTGTCTATAAAGATTGAATGTTAAAATAACTAGGATATGTACAAACTAAAAATTATTGATAAATGTAAGAAAGTTATTTTTATTTAATCGATATAATAAGAATTGTATTAGTTTAAATATGAAACCGTAAATACTAAGGGGAAAAGAGAGGAAATATTTAATGTAATAGTTTGAGATCTGTACTAAAGATACTTGTATGTTATTAAATTATCGATTAACTCAGCCGCCACATTGCTTTTTAAACATTTAAATGTAAAACTAGAAAATCAATACAATTTTCTTTTAAAAAAAAAAGAAATATACTATTCCACAGCAAGGAAGATAAAACAGGAATGGTTAAATTGATCATTCTATTCAAAAAGGAGAATATATTTGAGTATGTTTTTCATTTGGATATCACTTCTGGATTTTGTGCCTGGGTTAATAAAAATGAAACTTTGGTTTTGTTGATTAGATAGATTTGTCATTTTAGAAATGGCTAGTTTTATATTAATGTGTAAAAGCAAAAAGTTGAGGCTGGAGTGTTTTTATCTTGTACTGTGTTAAAAAGAGTCAGAGGTCAATGCCTTTTTTTTTCTTTTTTTCCCTTGTACCTCACATCTACTCCTCCCCTCTCCTTTTCCTTCCCTTAATTTCCTATTTCTACTTTTCTTTGTATTTTGTACATTAATTTTTTTAAAAAAAGTCATAGAAAGCCTTGAAGATTTCTTATTAGCTCAAAATCTTAATTGGAACTGTTTTATCTGATATTCCAAAATTGCATTTTGGTCCAAATCAGCTTCCAGCAAATTATTCACTTTTTCCATTTCATGTTCCATAAGGTCAATTCTCACTTCAAGCTTCTTATTTTCTCCAGTCAGATGTTGTATTTCACCACGCAGCTCTTTTGCTAAAGCATCAAATTTAGCCTCGATGCTTCTTCCCAAGATCTGAATTAACTCATGTGTTTTGGCTGTATATTCATCCAAAATTGGTTTTAAGAGTTCTAAATCTCCTGATAATCTCTCATCTTCTCCATTCTCTTGCTGGTTGCCATTTTTAATGTGTAGATAAAGCTTACAATTTGAAGTTAAGTACTTCAAAGTTATAAATTATAACTTTGAATTATTATTTTTTTTTAATTGAAATTTTTTAAAGTTTTACGATATAACTCCCCTCCTCCCCAAAACCCACCCTTCCCCACCCCCCTCCCTCCCCCCCCCCGACTTCCCAGAGCTAATCACAGGGTTAACAATACAATAAGTATACTCTATC